CCAAACATGGTTATTCCTGAAAGGGAGTTGTAGTTTCTTGCAGGTGCGTTTGTGCAGGGTTAGTTGTCCCTGGATAATTCTGGTGAACATCATTCAAGTCCATATCAACAGTGACCGTGGTGTGCTCCTGCTGTCCATCACAGGCCACTGAACCTGTCGCTCATGATCAAGTGTTTGGGACATATCAGAAACATGTCCTTCATTCAACCTTCCAGAACTCGGACTCGCTGGGGAGGAATGACATTTAAATTGGTATTTATGAATAAGATAATTTCCTGACCAGAAGCAGTGTCTGGTTAGTTGTTTTCCTTAAGTTTGAGGGGAATAAGCCTGTGTTTGTAATTAATTTTCCTTACATGTGGTATTTTTTCTTTCTTTCTTTCACTGATTAATTTCCTCAACTGATCTATTTGGAGTACAACATTAATACTGAAAACAGAATCATGAAGGTAGCAAAGGAAAACTGTTTAATCTCTTTCTGACAACACAGGTATATACATTTATGCAATGTAGCTATATATGAAAAGTGAATTGGCATGTAACATTTGAGATGTTATATTTATAGCGTTAATTTTTGTATATTAAGTACAAAAAAGAAAGGGAAAACCTTTGGTAACACGTCTGTTACAGACACTGAAGTATTAAGTTTGGAGCTCATTCATTCAGCTCCTGAAGAGACCTAAGAAGAGCAAAGTGGAGCTGAAGCTAGACCCTCCACTTTGGGTCTGTTTGGTTTTTTCATCCAGATGCCAGGCTTGGTGCCTCTGCCATTCCCTAGATCCAAGAAGCAATTATTAATTTATAGTAATTTATTAATTTTAATTCATTAAATGCAAAAATAGACAATAGCTACAGCATTAGAAAGCTTGAAAACCTCTTGAAGTGCTACATTACCATTTCACAGTTAAAGTGACGAAGTCTCAGGATATGGGAAAAAAAAAGCAAGCTAACTGTTTAAAAATTATACCAAATGGCTTACATTTAATGAGAATTATAGAGCTAAAAATAAATGAGGACTGAACTGACAAGTGAGAAAAAAATCATAACTTTTAAGATTTGCCTTTCTGGCTTTATTACCATTTAACCCTTTTTACATTTACCTTGGTAATTTTCAGTAAGTAACATATGCTTTGTTACTGAATTTTCCAGGAGAACAATAAAGGAAAGGAAGATGAGGTTTACAGAATTTACAAATTCTGAAAGCTTGGCTTGTCAAATAAAGCTATCCCAAAACCTTCAGTCCTGGAAATCTTGGGATTCAAGGCAGTTTTCTAGTGACGTAATGACAAACTAAACTTTTCAAGCGTTTCTAATTTTTATCATAGGGTTTTTTTAAGCATTTGAAAAATCATTTCTTCAGCATTAAGATAGTTTCTAGTTTCATACAAAGCTTGACATTTAGTTGTTTAGCTGCTCTTCATATAATAAGACAAAAAAAGAGAGGAACCTTTAAGAATGTGTTTTATTATTCCTCAGAGACAGGGTTGTTTTCCTCAACCTTTACATGCATTTTATTTTAATAACAAAAAGAATGAATAACGTGAACTTCTGGGTTCTTGGAAGCCTTTAAAAAGTTTTCTCCAATCTTAATAAGGCCCGAAAGTTGTCCTTAATGCTGAAACAAGAGCTGGAAATAAGCAAATTACATCTCCACCCCTACCTTTTGAAAAAGCCCAAGCATTTACTTCTCAGCTTACTTCATAAAGTGTTTTGTTGTAGATAAAATAGGATGTCTGAGTGCAGGAATTACTTCTTTCTTGATAATGAAAACTTCAGTACACTGAAGCATAAGTTTATACCGTGAAACATACGCAACTGCAAATCCATTTTCTTAGGAATGTGGTCCCAGTCCAGCTGCTGTGCTGGACTGTGCATAGCAGAAGAGGGCAATCCTGTTAGACCAACAAAGGGAAATATTCCAAGCGATGTTACCTTAATAACCCCTCTGGTCTGGACCAAGAGATGTCTCTTAACAGCATCCCATCTGTGGCTCTTCAGTTTACATCTTCGAAGACCTAAGCTAAATACATTACCAGGTTTAGTTTATCCTTTGAATTCTATCACCTTTTGTGCGCAGAGGCTCCAAATGAAGAGCACACTTCATTTGCAAATGTATTTTTCCTCTGCAAAATGTTAATCACTGCATGTCGCAAATATTGAAACTCTACCTTTCCCTCTGGCTTGGCTAGTTATCCCAGTCATATTATATTTGTTCCCGTAGCAAAGCAGGATACAATGCACTGAGGATGTGCTTACAGTCAAAAAATACAAAAATAAATAAAATGCTGATGTATATTTTCAATTGAAATTATAGAGGTCAGAAAAATGCAACTGAGTTATGAACATTTCTTCAAAGTCTTATTTAGGAAAATTTGTTGTAGTATTTGCTCAGTTCTAACCTGAGTTCTATACATTATTTTTTTTATTTTTTATTTCATAGTAGGGCTTTAGCAAGAATAGGGGTCCCAGATAACTAGAATGCCAACTTGGAAGTGTAAATCAGGCTTAGCAGCATTTTTGAGAAAAGAATTAGTACAAGTAACCTCAAGAAGCATTATATAATGGGCTTCTGGGAGCTAGCTTCCTTAGACACAGGCATTGTCACAAGTGGCAGTACCTGAAGTTCGTGGATAAGCAGAACTTTGCAGCAAGTTTTTATTAGCAGACACCTGAGGAAAACACAGCAGTGCACAACTGGGTTTCTGTGCAAAAGAGAGCTCGAGCCCTTACTCCCAATGGGGGACATGGAGGAACACTTCTCACAGTTGCCCCCAGTCCACAATTTTACCTCAGGAGAGAGAAATAAATAAAATTATGAATTAAATCCATGTATTCCTCTGGCCATTGTACCACAAATCCTTCATTTACTTAGCCACAGAGTTTATGAAAAAGCTTCTGTGTTATCATCTGTTTGGTGCATTGTCTGACTTACTTGAATAAAGAGCCTGACAAGTCAGGTACAGCTGTTGGCAAGAAGAAATTACCACAGCTACAGGGGTTATCTGCTAAAGTATTGTGTGGTCCCTTTCTGCCACAAAAGTAATTTTTTTTTAATTTATTGTTGATTGATTTTCTCTAACTAAAAATGATCTGGTTATTTGCTTAAAAAAACCCCAACAACGGTATTTTTTTGAAAAATAGGGTTTTTCCCTTTGGTGAGGGAGATGATATCCCCCAGGTTTCTGTGAACTTCCTTGCGATTTGGGTGGATTTGTGGTGTATATGAAATAGGAATTCATTTTCTACTATTAGCAAAGGAGATGCAGTGTGCAGCTCAGCCCCGTAATTGTGGAACAGTTATACTCCAGCTGAAATCAATGCGGATTTAGCCTAAGCTAAGGACACAGTTTTGGGCTCATTATCATGTAACACTAGTTCATTTCCAAATCCATGCACAGATCAGCAAACCCAACAGTTCTTGAGTAATGTAGACATGGTGTTAAATTACAAGTTTAGAATCAAATCTGTAGTTGACATTGCCTGGAATCAAGAGCTTTGGAGCTGACTTATCAATTTACAGGTTTGCATTTCAGTGGAGACCACTGAAATAATACTACAATTCTCTGTGCTCCACCTGAAAACAACTGACAAAAGATCATGAGGAGTAGGAGGAAGTGGAACCTTATACTTCTCTGTTCCCAGAACCTAGTTTGTGGTATGAGTAAGAGCATCTGTAAGACTGCTGGTGTTGGATTTAACAAACATTTAAGCACATCTTGATCTGAGGACAGTCAGGGATTACTGCCGCACAAGTTTCAGGTAGTCCTACTTCTTAGGCTGGAATCTTGCTGGCTGCCTAGTGTAATTACAGGCTTCTGTCCGAGAATTTCTTCTTTTCCAGGATTGTTGAGCTTTTATAAATGCTTTGCTGCTATTCTGTTGTATGTTATACTTGCATCAAATAACTACAACTGCAGATCATAGCTGTGGTTTATGAAATATAGAGAAATGATGCAATATAATATCTTTTTATTGGCAATACAATGCTAGCTATTAAAATTCAATCATACAGCATCCCAGGTGGTTGGCATTACCCTGCCAGTTTTGTTGCTTTCCGATTTGAGCATCCTGAATGCCGCACTGAGGTGATAAACAGCCCATTGTAGGTCTTTTCTACTTTAGGTTTTAAAGATGACTTCTTTTGCTGTATTTCCTCATGGAAGTTAAAACATTTTGAGTAAGTGGTCCTGAAAGTCTGTTCAAGAGACTGCCCCGGGAGCCTTAAGCAATGCATTCTTAGAAGGTGCTGCTGCATTTGCTAAGGATCAGTGTTACTTTCCCAAGCTCTGACCATACAAGCTTTTACCAGATGACTTGTCAAGGTGGCAGACAGTTTATAGTTGGTCACACAACTATTCAAAACAGAAATGAGTCATCCCCTCTCCAGGTCTCCCTCAGTGCTGTTTCAGTGTTTTGTAATCTGTGCCACACAGGTGACCCAGGGCTTCCTGCTGGGAAGGGAGACTTTATCACCACAACCACTAGATTTTGGCACATGAAGCCAATCACCCTGAAGTCACCTAGGCTGTGTATGGTGTTTTACTGACATGTTCCTTAGAAAACATACTGCAAGTAGATAAGACAGTGGTAAGCTGTGAGTGGTAATTGGTGAGCTGCTCACTGGAATTTGGAGTCCCAACTCACTTGTTTGTCTGCCATATGCTTTTTTGCTGGGCTTGTGCAATGTGAGCTAAGGCCTTGTGGGATGTGCTGGTCCCTGGTGCAAGCTCCTGTTAGCTGAACCAGAGCCATCAGTTTACTTCCAAGGATGGTAGGTCTGACAACATCAGGGCTTTTGCAGGCTGAGATTGAGCGGGTGTTTTCTTCTGTGTGTTTCTTAGCTGGAGATGTTGGGCAGACCTTGAGATTTTGCATATGCAGAGATGAAACTGAAAGGATGTAATGAGTGAAGAGCAACTCCTGTCCCACAGAGGAAGAAGAGGGCCGGGCATGACTGGAGATTGTGTTTGGACTGATTGTTCTGGTTTCTTTCTCACTAGGACAAAGAAATGAACCTGGAGCAGGTCCATAGACGCATGAACAGTTTAATTGATGAAGACATAGCCCACAAGCAAATCTCTCCAGCATCCATTGAAATTTCAGCCTTGGAGATTGGTGGCATGCAGCCAGCTCAGACCCTGGAGCCAGTACGTGAATACCAGAACACACAACTTTCTGTCACTACCTTTTTACCAGAACAGACAACTCATGGTGCCAGCAGGACACTCACAGCTGCGTCAGGCAGCAACCTGCCGCTGCCCCTGAGCAGCTCAGCCACCATGCCCTCCATACAGTGTAAACACAGGTCACCAAATGGAGGACTATTTCGTCAGAGTCCTGTGAAAACCCCGATCCCAATGTCATTTCAGTCTGTGCCAGGGGGAGTCATTCCAGAAGCAATGGAGCCCTCGCATGGAACATCCATATGACGAAAACTAACAATAAAACAACCAGCAGAGCTTTTTAATACAAAATTTAAAAGAAATGAAAAAAAAACAAAAACAAAAACAAAACGAACTCTCACATTTTTCTTGTATATACCTGTAAATAATGAAAGAATGAAGTGGGGTAAAAGTGTATTTTGAATATTCCCAATTTTCGAAGTAAGTAAAAAACAAAAAAAAAAAACAAACAAAAATGTATGAATGACTTTGTAAATTTTGTTCTATATGAATAAAAAGGCAAACTACTTGTGATCGTTCTCAAGTGCCAAAGAAGACCAGTTACTGGGACTGAGGGCCATACATTGTTTTTTTTTTCGTGGATTTCAACATTTATTCTCTTCCTGTTTTTCTGTGGGTTTGGTTTTGTTTGTTTGTGGGGATTTTTTTTTTTTTAAAGAAAAATATGTATCTGTTTCTTGCTAGAAGAGCTGTCTGTGCTCAGATCTCTCCTTTCCACAGAACCCTATTTTACAGTCAATTTTACAAGGCAATTCACTTGGAGAATGTAAGAGCTGGTATTGGTGTAGCAGTAACAAAAGTTTTAAATGTGAATTATAAACCAAGAAATGGGGAAAAGAAAAAAAGTAAGAGAAATTCTCCCATTTAGCAAGGGATTTAAATTTCCACACAGTTTCTAAGTTTAAGTACAGGATTGTTTAATTGTGATTTTATATGTCTGCTGTGCTGTGTGGCTCTTTTTATTTAGCCTTCTGTGTTTTGTTATATATATAATGTATATTACGTATATTATATATATGACATATATATATAAATGCTTTAATAACAGGTTTTACTTTAAGGAGAAAGTTTTTAAGAAAAAACTGATCAGCTCTTTTTTGCGTCTTGTGTACACGACCGCAAATGGGGAGGAACCAATATTTGAAAGGAGTGAGCCAAGGAAGAACAGGAGATAATGGCACTGCAGTGACTGCCCTCTGGTGCCATCTCTTTCTTTAAGATTTCAAGGAATTTGCTGCATAATGGATGCAATGCTTTTTGTTAAAGTCATATTCCTGAATGACAAGGCTAAGGTCATGACTATAAGCACAGCTTTGCTTTTTTTCCATTGATTTTTGTAAAGATAAACATTTTAATGGCCATGTCTATAATCTTAGTAGAAATGGCTATAAAATGTTTGAGGGTTGTTTTGTTGTTTTTTTTTTTGTCTATGAAACACAATCAGAGGACAAAGGTAGAGCAATACTTACAGTGAATTTAATGTCTCCTGCAAAGGAGAAGGAGCAATTTCATATGACAAAAAATCAAAACCAAACCACATTGTTTCCTTTCCACATAGTGGTTCAAATGCCCAAGAAGACTGATACCCAATGCCCTGCCCACTGTTGTTAATGTACAATCACTATCTTTCAGAATTGTGACCATTTAGTGTCTTCTCAAACATATCCATATAGCTGGGTTATAATTTCCCTTTGTAGCTGGATTTCTTCACTTTATTAGAACACTGCTATTTGTGCAAAGGGCTGTAGATCTCGGTGCAGCAAAATCAATGCCTACATTAAATTATGTTTGAACAGAGGTAAAATCTATTCACATCCCAAGAAAGTCAGCAGGAAATCTGGGTCAGATTTTTTGACAAATAAACATTCCATTGACTGCTTCTAATCTGATTTGCATAATTACACAACAGGTACATTTATGAGATGATAAACGCCCTCAAATTCTTACATTTCTAGTTTAAGTGATAGGGAAGAAAAGCGAATGCGTGATTCAAAACCAGCCTAATGGAAGCACATACTCAGCATACCACTTTTCAAATGAGGAATATTGATGGTGAATTTAGAGAAAGAGTATTTTTGCAGGGATTAATTTGTCTTTGTTGTCAAGCTGGTTCCTCATGAAGACAGTCGATTTTGCAGCTTAGCACAAATTATACTATTAGCTTCAAACTAATTAAAAATGAATAATACTGCAGTCAGCTCCCTAGATTTATCCTATTTAGAGACTTGGCCCACACAAGCTTCGGATTCTTTTCTTTCTTCTTTCATCATAGTTATCACAATCTTAACAAACCTATGGCCAAAGGAAAAAATAGACATTTCTGCCACTGATTTTTTCCTCACTTTCCATAAATACACTAATTAGTTATGGCAGAAATAGCTTAAGAAAAAACCAACAAAACAGAAAACCCCCACACCTAGGTACCTGTAAACACTATTAGAAGCGACTATTTGTATTGGAAAAATCCCTCATTTCTATTATTATTTAAGATTTTAGCAGATGCAGATGAACATGCTCCAGATGAGGTGCAAGGAGATGCTTGTGTAACTATGGGGGTGCAATCTGCAAGCTAGGGCTTGGCTGGAGTGGGTATTCCATCCCCAGCAGTACCAAAGTGAGCTGGCCATCAACCCTCGTCCTGAGTATCATCCAGAGCAGGTTGGTGAGTAGCAGGCTTGGCCACCTCAGCAGCATGAGGCAATCACACAGCCATGTCCTCCCTTTTGGATGGCGAAGCACAATAGTGACCTGCTGGTGCATAGTAGCATAGCCACTGCTGCTGGTTCTGCAGCAACATTGTAAGGAACAAGCTTGTCAGAGGCTGTCCGAGTTCCTTTGCCATTTCCCCACAAAGCATGCTATTTATTTGCTGCAGCACAGATCAGAATAGGGAACTGAAACCCTCCTTTACTGAGGCATCACTGATTTCATAAACCATCTTAATTTTTTTTTATAGTAGTCTAAACAATGATACTGAATAAACAACTGCATTTGTAGAATAAACTGTGAATACAGTGTATTTTGGGGATTAGCATTCTCCATATTCATTGTTCTTTTGGCTTAGTCTTGCTGTATGCTGTAGAGTTTGGAAGTAGGATTTAACTTCTAAACAATGTTGGATCTCACTGATTCTAATGAATAGAATATGACTCACCTGTTTGAATCCTCTGCAGAATTACATCTAAGACAATCAGGATCTTGAAAAATCAAACCACACAGACTTCTCTCAGAAATGTATTTAAGCATGTGTGTAAGACCTATAAGAAAGCAGCTGTTTTATGCATAGGTTGAAGTGCTTTGCTGTTTAATGACTCAGTTAAAAGGCACATCTCAAATTAAATATAGGACTAGTTTCAAGCAAGTGAGTGAGCTCACTAAGCTCTCTGGGGCAATTCAGTTGCTTAAGGTTAACTGTCTTGAGTGCTTTGCTGCACCAGGGTCTCTACAGTAGAAGTAAGGCATCTACAATGGATCTGTCATTGTCTAGTAATTGTTTATATAAAAGTTAGCAAGTCATAGCTTGAGCTTGTCAACCACGACAGGAAGCTATTCAATCTTTCATGTGACGGTGGTTTGGTTTTAGATTATTTAAGCAAATCACCAGGTTCTCCTTGAACATAAACAGTATTTCTTTCCCCGTAACTTTCAGTTTTGAAAGTAAATGCAGAATGTATCATTTCCATATTCTGTCTCCTGTTTTATATTTATATCTTCAAGTTGACACATCAAAGCATTCACTTTCTATATAATATGTATTCACCACACACTCATGCATATATATATATACATGCGCAGTTACTCACAGAAGAGGTGAGAAATATAACTTCCATGTGATGTAAATGAGCATAAGTTCAAAGCCCTCACAGAGCTGTGCTGATTTACACCACCTGCAGGTTTGACCCTTCACTTGTAATATCAGGCAAATTGATGTAGAAAAAAACTTGCAGAAATTCCCAAAAACTTTGAAGACCAAACTGCGTCCTTGATTTTTAAGTGGAATTTCCCCTGAGTGTGTTGAAAAAAGGAATAATATATGATCCCAAATATTGCAGTTCCTCCAGGATGTTTACACTGCAAAGGTGGTTGTACATGAAATAGAAATTGAGTGCCTATACCTTCCTTCTATTGTGCTCTTTTGCTGATGAACTTTCGTGAATAACATCTGTGGCAGAGCACTTGTAGTGCATCTTGTTCTATTGTTCCGTTAGTTTAGAAATGACTTTATTTTCATACAAAAATGTGACTCTGTTTCTTCTATTTGCTTGCAATCCATGGGCAATCTGCTTGCAATCTGAAGAATGCATTGCTCTTACTTCTTAGTATGTCATGTTTTTCTATTGCAATGGAAAAAGAGTAATTGTGCTTTTTAATTTCAGAGTTGAAACTTGATAGAACATTTTTATGCTGAGTTACAACAACATGTGTGCAATACTTGTCCTGCAAAGTGAAATTCCCAATATCTGCCTTGCTTTGATAACCATTGCTACACTGTAGATGAAGTTTCAGCAAAACTTTCAATCTCTCACTTTCTCTTAGTCTGCTCATAGAATAAAACACTTAAATCTGGGTTCTCACCTCTGTAAATCAGCATCCCTCTAGTGAAAGGGTCAAGCATACTAAGTTTAAGTAGGTGAAGATTTGGCTTTTAATACTGGGCTTGAGAGCACTGCTTCCCCTGAACATATATTCAGTGATAGCTCTGTAAAGGAAAATGTTTTGAGTCTCAAAAATTACCTCAAAAAAGGAATATTTATTACTATTCTGAGGACTTAATATGGATTTCAGTTTAAACTGTATGCTGAGAACAAATTTCTTCTTAAAATCTGTTCAGTTTTAGGTATATCTCTCCTCTAAGAAAGGTTAAAGCTGTTAGCTTGGTGGCAAGTGGAGCATTCCTTTGAAAGGAGATCATGTTACTGGGCTAGTACAGCAACCACAGTGCTCAGACCTTTTTAATTTATTATGTTCTGCTTTACTGACTTGAATGTATGTTGTGGGCAGCTAGAGAGTGACAGATCTAACCACAACACATTTGAGGGACCTGTTGAGGGACCTTTACCCAAAGAATCCACATCCTTTGGCAGCCAATGAGAAGGTTAGAAGAAAACTCTTAAGAGAAGCAAAATTAAAGGTAAAATGAACATGAGGTGAAGGGAGAGGGAGAAAAGTGTGGATACAACTCATATGTCTAGCAAAGCTGTATTACTTCTATTGGAAGCCTAGATTCCATCATACAAGCAGTGGCCTCAGTTAATTGCTATTTTTCTTAATTTTTAGAAACAAATAAAAAAAAGCATTTGTTCTACAAGAAACAGTTGTTATATTATTTAAGAGTTGGAATTATTTGTTTGATGATGCCAGTTTTTTGGCTTGATTCTCAGCTGGGGAAAATGGGCTTCAATCAGTGATTTGAACCTAAACCAGCTTTAGGCTGCTTGCTAGATGACACTCCTAATAGCTCTTTAGGACTGCAGCTGTGAAAAATCAGTCTCACTCAGCTACCCATAAACCTCTAACTTTTTTTGGTCTGGATAAGAGTTATGGTTTAGCAGTATCAGTTGTATATGTCTCTGGATTCCTGGATAAGGATGCTGCTTTGCTACCGCTTGTGTTGGAGGAAAGCAGTGCAGAAACTTGTTCTCTCCAAGCTTGTAATTTAACTGATAACAGGAGCAAGTGATGTGTAAGGCTTTAGTTTCTTACTGAGTTTTATTTTCTCTTAAGTTTACTGTCAGGCTGATGAGAAGGACTTCTTTATTTTTTTTATTTTAAGTGTACACTTACAGGGCACTACTTAAATTTTTTTTCCCTATTTAAACTGAAATCGGCTTGCTTAGAAATCAGTGCTGGTATTAATTTCATGTCTTGTAATGGAGCACCACCGTAACAAACTTATTTTGCCTTTTTTTTTTAAAAAAAAATCTGTTTTTTGTAAATCTCATTGGAAGATGTCTTATTTCTCAGTAGCTGTTTAATTCTTTTATTACAGTTATAAAATTCTGTAGTTTTGAGGGCATCAAGGCTTTTATCTGGTTTGTTTTCTATATAACGTAAAGGGGGGAAATGAATCCTCACAAACAGATAAACACAGACATGGAAAGTAGCAGGGTAGGGAAAAAACTTGAAACTAAAAGAAAGATGTTTGTACATCTTGCTGAAGTTTCAATGGCTTGGATGACTGGGATGGAAAATGATTTCTGAATGTATTATACTGACTACACTGTAGAAATTATCTGAAAAGTTTCTAGGTGGGAAACCACAAATCGAAGCTCAACATGCCCTCAGGTTGTTTTCAAGATAAAGAATGCCTTTTTTATTATTGCTTTGTTATAATGTCATAACTGAAGCTGTATGTGGAGGGATATGGCACCTGAGGCTTTAAAACAGCTTTAGTTAATTATCAGGCTGCTTTTAGACTCTGAGTCTAAAGTCGCTCATTAAAGGAAATATCTTTGAGATTTTCTGTATCTAAAGATTTTCCTTAGTTTGTTTCTTTCTTGTAAAATGTATTTATTTGTTTTCTGATGGAATTATATTTAAAGCAGTTAAGTATAGCACAAAGGAGCCCAGCACTTCAGGTGAGAACTGCAGCTAAAAGAACAAGAAAGCATGCAATTGTGACACTGAACTGTGAAGAAGAGAGATCCCAGATTTATAGCAATTTTTTCTATATATCAGCAGAAAAGCCTTGACTTCTGTTTAATGTACCTTCTATATGATTTATATTGGATCAATCCCATCAAATTAAATACTTACAGAAGCAAAATATTCCAGCCCACCAAAGTGCTGAAATGCATATTTCCAAATAAATCTAAGCAGACACTGGAAATGTTTCCTTGTTTTATACAGAAAGCATCATTTTAATCTGCTCAACTGGGTATACTTACTAGTAAAAGGTCTGAAAGACGTAACTCAAGCATTTGGTAGTGCTGTTTGGAACCTAGACTCACAGTGCCCAGGGCTCATGAAATGGTGTCGTATCCCACAGCGATCAGTATTCACAGTAGCAACGCAGGGAAATGGGGATGATATTAGGCTTGGGAACTAGTTTTTCATCCTGAGACATAGTTTTCACCAATGAATAAATCAGAGAAAAAATAGGTAAAAATCTTATTCTGCAGTGACAGACCCTTTTCCATCTTGGTTACATTAGCAAGGATACCAGCTGGCTGAGCTCAGCCCTGATTCCTGCTGATAGACCCCAGCAAAAAGGATGGGTGTGTCCTGCTCTAGGTGGAGGAGAGCAATGTGTGCTGTGTTTGTCTATCCATCAAGGTACTGCTTTCCAGTGTTGGCTATACTGTTGCTGCTTTTGGGTGGATCATGTCTAACAGGAAAAACTCTCCTGAGAAGCCTTGGGTGTAGGCAAGTATAGTATTTGCAAGCTGTTGAAAGTAAGTAGTTCCTAAATTTCAGCTGCTGTTTAAGAACTGGCCAGGAAAATATATTTCAATATTCTTCTTGATTGTAAAGCCAGCTTGAATTATGCTGAGAACCAATTTTGTGGAGGGTGCTTTGGTTGTGAAAGCTTTCAACTTCTGGTATAGCAGCCGCTAACAGGGCAATAGACATGGTCAGATGCACACCATGGGGACCCTGAGATGATGGCAAAGCGTGTGTGGAATGAGGAGGCATTTGCTGTGAGCTTCCTGGAGAGCTTGGGCCTGCTACAGTGGTGGTGGAGAACCTCAGAGCAGCAGTGGGAGGGGGAGCTGCTGGGGAAGGGGATGTGAGGCAATCCCAGAGAGCTGGGAGAGGCAGAGGTCTCTGGAGATGAGTGCTTATGGTTCAGGCAAGGTGGGAACTGCTCCTCAGGAAGACTTGGTGAGGTTTGGGAATAACATGGGGAATGTGCCGTATCAGAGTGAGAATACACTGGGGTATGAACCGTGGGCAGGGTTGCTGGATGCTACTGTCATTGTTTACGTAAAGGTTTCCTAAAATCCAAATCATGCTAAATGGGGAAACATGGCTCAGACTGATCCTGGCACATTGAGAGAACAAACAATGCAGATGGGGCTGCGAGTTGCAGTTTTAAGTCCGTGCTGTTTGATTTCCCTTCCTGTTGCATCTCTGTAGATTGGCTCACTTGTGTCTTCTGGGCTATGATTGCCCAGCGTTTACTCGACTCTTTGACAGGAGGAATGTGGTTTTACAACACAACAACAGTTTTCTATTGCACATTTACATTCCTATCTTTGTCTTGTCATTCATGTCAAAACGTCAGGCAGAGAAACATATGCTTTCAAATGGAGTTTCTGCAAACCGTTTGGATCAATAAGGGCTGTCTATCTGCATATTTGTAACATCTGTCACAGAGGAATACGAAGCTCTATCAATTTAGTGGCTTAGTAAACCATATTTTACTCCAGACTTAGCTTGATCACGTTCAGTGACAGGAAAATATAGGTGCTTTGGGCACTGCAGAGATCTATTGAAAAGCAAGTCCTGCATTTTGGAGAGTAGCGTTCTCATCTTTTGCATGCAGCAAATACGTGCTATCCTGACAGGCTGAGTTATCAGTCCCTAGATATGTCACTGAGCTCATGATGGCTCAGTGCAGCTGCTGTTCATCCCTGGTCTGCTCTGAAGGCTAGTGCGGGCAATAACAGTTACTACAACACAACACCTGAAAAACTGCTGGGGTGTCAACAGCAGTTGACAGCAAGAAGGGTTTGGAGTGGGGTGCGGGAAGTGTCTGGCCACAGTCCATGGGTGCAGTGAAGGCAAAGGCTCCTCTGTGCACTACCTGGTGGGATTTGGAGGATGAGGTATGCCTCTAAGGTCTGAAATACCTTAGCCAGGAAGTGGTGGAAGGCAGCGATAGGTGAGAGATCTTAAAAATAAGGAGAAGAGCAGGTACTGGAGTATGGGGCAGGTTAACAGCTTGCTTGGCTCCAGATCAAAGCTGCCGAAGTGGTGTATGTATGTTGCTATGAGAAACCGTGAGGTTGCAAAAGTAGCAACCTACAGTGCTGCCTTGGATATTAATCAGTCAGGCAAGTCCCAGACCTCTAGTTATAAAGCCTGCTTAGTTCCACAGTATTAAGTGCTATGAAAAGTGTATTAAACCTTTTACTAAGAACAGAAACAGCAGACAGTGAAAGCATGCAAAATGTAAAGTGTTAAATTAGACTGTCAATTCAGTTATTCTTTATCACTTAATCCCTTTACCTGTGTGGCTTGTTAAAGGGAAAGTCCTCTCTCGACAGCAGCAGTCCTTGGGGAGGGAGGGACATGAGGAGAGGAATCAGGGAAAGCTGTCATGCAGGGGTGGAGGCAGCCGTTGTTTGCAAGAGGCAGACTTAAGCTTCAGCAGGAGTAATGCATGAGCAGAGAGTGAGGAGATGGCGATGAAAGAGACGTACTTGGTCAGCAGTGCACTGGCCCTGGCTTCCCAATTCATCATGGGTGGAGGGAGGTACAGCCAGAAATTATACCACTCTCAAGCTGAGATCTTGGGGTTCAAGAAGGCGGAGCATGGAAAGTATTTCTGTTATGATACTCAGCTTGTGTTGGCAGTACCCGTCAGTACGCTGGTGCCTTGAGTGGTATGCTGCAGGTGAGCAGGAACGGGTTCAACATTAGCTGTTTCACAGGGCTGGCAGTAGGTGAACTTCAGCAGTTGTGACTTTGTCTTTCTGGCTTGACCTTAAACTGCTATAAACAAGCATTAAGAAGTGAAGATAGATTGAAAAATAAAAAATCAGTAAGGCCTAAGGGAAATTTCTAGCTTTTTCATTGCCAGTAAAGTGCTTATTTTCTCAGAAGCTTCTGTATATGTGGGATTTGATGAGCAGATAAGATAAAAATGTATTACAGAAAGAAAAAAAAATCAAAAAAGGTCCTGTTCTAAAGCTTATGATGCTTCTGGAGTTTTGGTGTTGTGGGTTGTTTTTCTTTTTTTTTATTGGTGTGCGTGTTGTGTTTTTTTTATTATTGTCATTTTTTATTTTTTTTTTTTTTGCATCAGAATATATTGCTCAGAATTTTCTTGAGTACAATTTTTATCAAAGCTTACTTTCAAACTTAAGGTCTGTAATTCATCTAGTTGGGAAATGCATTGGGTATTGCTTTAATTAGCTGGCACAAATACCAGCAAAAGTAAAATTGACTACTCGGTGAGTTACAAGCTAAAAGTATTAGTAGTTACTAAAGAGATGTTTAAATTTCCTTTTGCTGTTGTTTTTAAAAGAAGTAATTAATTTGAAATAATTATCATTGAATTACTCATCTGGCTTTAGCTACAATGGGTTTATTAAGTCATTATTGAGAGATTGAATGGTGGCGCATGATGTTTAGATGTCACTTG